CACGGGGGTGGTGGGGGGGGGGGTTGGGGGAGCTTTCTGTAAAGAGTCGAGAGAGCCTGTGTAAAGATGGCCTGGTTCTGGAGAAATTCACTCGGGTGAGGGGACTTGAAACCACCTCACGCCAGCAGCCAGCCAGTGAAGGAGCTGCCCTGGGAAAGTGGGCTTTGACCTCTGCCACGCATGCCCACAGAGGAGAATGGAGGAGTCTGGTTGAATCACAGGGAACAGCCCCTGTGTCAACGCCTGCTTTGGAAATAGGTGTCAGAACTTTGCCCGGATGGGTGATGATGTATTCCATTCCCTGGAACCATCCAAGTACAGGTTGGGCAGCTACCAGCAGGGGTGTCACACAGGGTCCACCTGAGTTCCCAGCCACTGTGGCCTTGGGCACCCTGGAGGGCAGAGCTGGCCTCCCTCATTTCCCACGCTCCAAGGAGGCAGAGATGGTGCATGCCGAGGGCCAGGGGTCCCACGAGATGAGAACATGGATGATCATGGGGAAGAGCAGGTCTTGGTCCTTCTCATCCCCTATTGTCCTGGACAGGCACAGAAAGGCAGTGACCTCTAAGACAGGAGCAGCATGATGGCTGCCGGGTCTAGGGGTCCTAGACTCTGAGCCCCAGACCTGCTGAGGGGTCACTAAGGGGTCTTCTGGTTCCCCATCCTGGGAGTGCCTGTCCTTCTCCCTCCCCTGTCCCTGTCCCCGAGCTAAGAGTACCAGTGTCTACAGAGCCGCCGCCACCCTATGAGCCTGCCTTAGGGCTGCCAGAGAGGCCAGCGGGGGCCAGGGCATTGCTTAGGCTCCCTGGACGCAGCTTGACATAGCCACGCCCCCATCCCACCTGGCATTCCTCTACAACAGCCAGGAGCAGCCCCGCCCAGCGTCCTGGGGCAGGGGCCCTCTGCTCTGCGCAAGTCTGCACAAGTCTTGGGGCAGATGGACGTGTGTGTCTATGTGTCCAGCAAAGGGAAAAGTCAGCTCCAGTCATAGGAAGCTTATCCACGGTTCCCTGGGGCCAGGATGGACCTCAAGAGGCTGGAGGCAACTTTTTGAGGTGATAGGAATGTTCTAGATGTTAACCGCCAGGTGGTCACATGGACCTGTACGTCTGTCAGAGCCCACTTAATTGTACGCTCCGTCTGCGACGTATCCTGTTACACTTACTGTCTTGTTCATTAGCAACACAAATCTTAGGACAGATTGGAAGCAATGGCCAACGAGGCACTGGTGAGCTTCCTTTTGAGGACTCCTGTTCAGCCACAACGAAGATGAAGTAGATCACAAGGACCGCAAACGCCTCAGGAAAACAGCGACATCAGGGTGGGCTCTCACCATGAGCACAGCAGCCCGCCGGGGCGGGGCCTGCTCTGTGCAGGGGAGCCCCTCCCCCTGGGAAGGCCCTGAAGTCTCTCTCCCCTCGCCAGGCTGTATCGGGACAGCCTGCGGAGCACAGAAGGAACAATCACGGTGGCGCATGAGGCCTGGAACTTGGGAGGAATCAAGCGGGCAGGTGGGCAGAAAGCCGATCTTGTCTTTATTTACACTTGGATGTTTTGCTCGTCATGGACTTTTTTGCACAAATGTTGATTTTTTCAAAATATTGCGTTAAAGTGCATTGCTTCTTAAATTGTCTGGGCACCGCCTTCTACCCTGCAGCCAGGAGAACACCTTTCTCGCTCGCCTTTGCCCAGCCTCAGGGGAAAGCAGGAAGAATAATCCAGCCCCAGTCCAGAGAACTAAGAGTGCAGGGCCAGCCTCCTCTGAGGGCCTGGTGGGCAGATGCGCGGTGAGACCCAGACCTGCCCCGCCTGGGGCTGGGCAGAGCACTGGGCTTGGTCGGAAGGAGGGGAAGGTCTCTGGGTGACACCCCTCTGGACAGTGGGCTCAGTGTCTCCGGCCTGGCCTCTGGGCAGCTGTCTGTGTCCTGGCCGTCCTCGGGCCTGCAGGGAATCCACACGTGGAGCTCTGAGTGGTGGAGAAGCGTGGAAGCGGGGTGCAATGACCGAAGGGCACTCGGGGCTCCAAGAGGGAGTCGGGGAGGTAACTCAGAAGGGAAAGAGGAGCATCCATTGCCTGAGCTGGGAACTGGGCAGAGAGTGGCCAGGAGCTCTGTGTCCTGGGCTGGAGCCCCAGGAAGGAGTCCCCAAGGCATCGGGCAGTGGCAGCTGCAGTAGCGCTGACAGCAGAGAGCTAGGGGCTCATTCTCGAAAGAGTAGAGAGGTTGTCTTCTCTCTCCACCTTCTTGGCCGCTGTGGTGGGGCATGAGCTTGCTTGCACAGCCGATGTCGTGTGTGTGTAAAACTCCCTCTACCCAGCTGGAAATGCTTGGGAGGCAGGAAACAGGGCCTGGTGGCTGGCCTCGGGGTGAGTCCCCAGTGCTGCAGACAGCTCAGGGCCAGCCACGTGTCCTTCCAGAAGGCAGCTGGACAACTGGAGGGAGGAGGGCAGTGACAGAGTCCGCAAGTGATTAATCGGAGGGGGCTGTGGGAGGCATGGAGGGGGGCATTGTAGAGGGAGGCTGGGGTTGTGTGGTCAGGAGAACAAGGACACTGGACAAAGGGTGCCAGGAAGGTCAGGGCCAAGGTCAGCGACAGGAGTCAAGGGCAAGGGCAGGAGCAGGTCTCCAAGGCCAGCTCTGCTGGAGGCGGGACCCAGGTCTTATGCTGCTCCAGTTCCTTTCACTCCAGATATAGGAAAACGACCACCAAGCAGCATCATGCTGAGCGTGCCTGCAGCCCTGCATGTGCCATGTGTCCTCTCAGGGCAGCAGCCCTGCCTCTCAGTTCTTTGCCATCCCTGCCCGCCAGCAGCTCCCACGGGGCCTGGTGCTGAGCAGCCAGCGCTTACTGAACTAGCCGATGCTGGCAGGGATTTTGCCTGGGGGTGGCTTGGTCAGCAAGGACTCCAGGCCGGGAGTTGGCTCTCAGGGAAACCAAGGAAAAAAAGAAGAAATAAGCCCGGCATTCCTTCTGAGCTGGGTACATTCTTGGGCATCATCATCATTTTCCAGATGGTGCGTCTGTAGACCTCCAAGTTCACGGCACTGGCCTTGAACTTGGAGTTGGGATCATTCCTCCTGGCCAGCCAGAACCCCAAGTCGGAGAGATAGGTGGGAGGGACCTTCAGGGAAGGAGGCTGGGGGTGACTCTCAGGGATCAGTACCCTGGGTAGAGGGTGGAGTGGGGGCCCTCGGGCCTGGCCTGTGGGTGCCGAGGCTCAGTGGCAGTCAGAGGTGGAGCCAGGGGCCTCCCTAGCAGGGAGGGAGGAGAAACAGCCGAGGACAGCACGCCGGCCTCTGCTCTGCACTGGCTGGGTGGCCAGCGGGGCTAGTGGGGGGCTGGGTTCTGCCGTCTTTGCAAGCCTGGGATGTGGCACCCCAAAATAACCCAAAATGAGAGACCCCTGAGGTGTGGGCCTGGGGCCTCCAGAAGTTCTGCCTGTGCATCCTTCCCATCGGGATGCCCTATGCTGGAGCAGGCAGCTTCCCTTTGGAGCTAGAACTTTCTGGGGGGCATAAGAATCAGTCCCTCTAAGTTCTGGCTCAAGAGAGGCTCATCTCAGAGAGGCTGTCCCTGCCACGCTGCTTGGAATCCCAGCTCTGGGTCTCTGCCTCCCCCCACTGCTGCCCCGCCTCACTCTTCTTCGCAGCCAACCCCTCTTTCTGACTCACGCGCACTGCTTTGCGGACCTGCTGGTTCTGTCTGCCTCCCCCTGCCCCAAACACTAGCACCATGGGTAGGAGCCGTGGCCTGTTTTGTGCTCTGCCTCCCCAGCACCTAGGACAGGGCCAGGCCCGTAAGAGGCACTCCACGGATACTTGTCAGCTGACCGCACCTGCATGACACCCGCAGTTCACTGTGACCGCCGTTGCTATTGCTTGTTCTATGTGACCAGGGCAGCGTCCTCAGCCTTCCTGGACCTGCACCTTCACCCATAAAGCGAGGTGGGCCCACTGGACAGTTTCTGAGCTTCCCAAACCCTGAGAATCCCAGGGCCCCAAATGCTCAGGGTCAGGGAGATTCCTCTCCAAGTGGACCCAACCCCTCGGTTTGCGGTTCTCAGCAGTGCTCTGTCAGGTCGGGAGGCCCTAACCCCACTTCCGATCCTTCTTTGACTCAAGATCAGAGTGAAGCAGGGGCGTGGGGCCATGAGTCAGCCCAGTATTTCTGGCAATGGCTCCCGTTCAGATATTTGTGTGTTTTATTTTAATTGGGCTGATGTGTTGTTTCATAACATTTTATTGTTTTCAATAGAGGCAATTCATTGTGTGCAGAATTAAAAGTCATTTAATTTTAATTTCTTTAAAAGTTTTCAAGGAAAGGGACTGGCGTTGTGGCACAGCGGGTTAAGCCACTACTTGTAATGCCAGTTTGCCATATCCAAGTGCTGGTTCAAGTCCCGGCTGCTCCACTTCGGATCCAGCTCCTTGCTAATGCACCTGGGAAGGCAACAGAAGATGGCCCATGTGCCTGGGCCCCTGCACTCACATGGGAGACCTGGAAGAAGCTCCTGGCTGCTGGCTTCGGGTTGGCCCAGCTCTAGCTGTTGAGGTCATTTGTGGAGTAAAACTCAGATCTCTCTGTCTCTCCTTCTCAGTCACTCTGCCTTTCAAATAAATAAACAAACTTTAAAAAAAAATCATGGGGATAAGCCAAGTTCTAGAAAAACACCTGCCACACCACAGATTTGCTCTGATCTGGGATGGACCCACAGTCCTTGGCACTGAAGGTGTCCATTGCCCTGCCTGGCCTGGGACATCGCCTATGGGGACGGGATCACCCTAGCAGGGCTTGGGGCACCCTTACAGGACCTGCCCTGTCTCAGAATCCCCTCTCCAAGAGGCAGCAGGGAGCCCCAGAGGCTGCTGGGGGGGGGGGGGTAGTTTCAGGCCGAGAGGCAGCCTCACACCCCCAGGACTGGGTATTCGCTGAGTAACTGGGATGGCCCCGGACAGGGGAGGAGGGACAGGTCTGGCAAGTTCTGTGTTGTTTATACTACACTCAGGATTACCTCACACGTCCCAGCCGGCTTCCCCGCCCCGTTGGCTGGGGGCCGGCCCTCAGCCCTGGAAGCCCCTTTTCCCCACAGGCCCGGGAACCCAGGGGCCGACATGGGTCTTCCCCTCGCTGTCAGCTGAGCCGGGACACTGGCTGCCCGCTCGGAGACCATGGAGAGGGGCGGCCGCCTGGTGAGTGTGTCTGTGGGCGCCGGGGAGCAGGGCTGGGACCCGGAGAAAGGTGGGGCACTGGCACACTGCGCCACAGGTTCTCAGGGGAACTGGAAGTGCCTCGGCTTGTGGTACGCTGCCAGGGATCAGGATCTCCAGGCTCCTCTGATCACGGTTCCTGGAAGGAGCGCCCGGGAAGAGAAGCTGGAGGCTTTGGGCTTGGTCGGCGGGCACCCAGGGCTGACTCCTGGCCCCTGCCTGTGGTCCGTGAGCCCTGTGGTCAGGGCATCTATGTGGTGAGAGCCCCGGCTGTGGGAGATTCTCACTGCCTTGAGGATCAAAAGCATTTTAATTGGTCCTCAGCGGCATCTCATCTCCCTCCCTCCCTCGGCTCCTAAACCTTCCCAGAAAAATAGGACTTTCTGTGTGCTTTAAAAGTGGATTTTCTTTTTTCCAGTCTTTCTCGATGATTTACTTTGGGCTTCATAGCCTTCGTGCTTGGGAAGTCCTCCCTTACATTTAACCACAATCCCTCTGCCAGAACTCAGGCTCCTTTCTTCGGGGGTGGTAGACGGCAGCCAGAGGGCCCTCCGAGGAAGGGCCAGGCAGGCACGTGGAGCCTCCGGGAGCTCGAGTTCCCCGTGCCTCTGCTCGTGCCTTCGCGGGAAGACCGCCTGCACTCCCACTCCCCTGCGGGTCTCCTTTTCTGCTGCACTCCACGGTCTCTGTGCTTTGCTGAGCAGGTAAATCTGGGACTCTGGGAAGGATGGGCCAGCCCTGGGTTTGAGAAAGATCAGTGTACTCTATGTCCTGTGTATAGTTGGCTTGTGTCTCTTCTGAACCCCAGCTATTTTCTGCAACCTTTTCCATAATTTTCCCCACTATTCTTCCAGCCCCCTCTGACTTCCTCCCCGGGCTGCTGTCCCTCCTCTGCTCTGGTCTCCTGGGCTCACATCTCCTCCTGCCCAAGATCTTTGGGCCTCTTTGGGCCTCTGGTGAGCAGACAAGGGGCACGCCCAGGGTTTTATCTGCAGCTTGGGGAGATGAGTCCCCCCACGGCCCTGGAGCATCCTCCCGAGTGCCCTGCCGGGAGCCTAAACATGATGGTCCCTGCACCCAAAGTGGGAGAAGGACTGAGCCATCTGGGAGAAGGCTCTGCTCACATCAGAGGCAGACAGTCTGTTCCTAGGGCAGGCTGAGAGCGAGGAGGCCCGCGCCTCTGTCCGGAGCTGTGCACCCACATGGAAGGTTACTGGAGGGGCACAGGGTGAGGAGCAGACTTTGAATTATTGATGGGGACTCCCAGTTCATTTATGAATGAAGCGTTGAAGGAATGGTAGGGGCCGCATTCATTCTGGAAGGGAGGTCATTGGTTCTTACCTTGGAATGAAAGAACAGAGCCATCACATCCTTATTCAAGGTTCTCAGATGTACCCCCTCTTTAGGGTGGGACCCCAACATAGTGAGCCTGACATACAGGCAGGGAGGGCTGGGGTTGGGCTCTCAATCTCCCCTGCAGCAGGTAGGTGTCTTAGACGGATGGAAAACAAGCAGGCTGGGAGCAACTTGTCGTCTCAGGCCGGGCTTTCCTGGGGCCTTTATTGGAGAGGCGCATTGTGGATTTGTCCCTCTGCTCCAAGAAGGAGTGAGGAAGAGGGTGGTCAGCAGCTGAAGCCTGGTGTGCCCTGTGGCAGCCGCTGGGTGTGCAGAGAGAGCTTGGGAGAGATGGACTCAGCTCTCAGCTTTGCCACATTCAAAGGGACAGCCACGTGTTGTGGTGGACAGAGAACAAACCAGCTCCCGGGTCAGCGTGGTACCTCAGTTTCTTCATCTGTCAAATGGGATGATGATAATGCCGGCCTTAAGAAGCCTCGCAACAGGGTCTTTCATACAGGAGACTTTTCTGGAACAGCATTCGGCACAGATGGATAGAGACACAAAGGCATTCGCAGTGTTAGGATTTAGGATCGCCATCCTCATCACCATCGAGAGTCTATCCTTGGATCTAAATTTGGGCAAGTGTCATCTCTCCATGCCTCAGTTTCCCTGCCTACCAAAAAAGACGCTGGGACACAGAGCCCCCCAGGAGTTCCTTTCGGGTTCCATGGTAGTCTCCGGGGCTATCAGGAGGGATTACAGGTGCGCCATACTGGATATATGAGTTTGTTCTTGACAAATACTGCATTTGCTGGCTTTTTCATCTGGGCCCCATTTTTGCTGTTTCAAGAATTGCCATGTGTATGCAAGAGCTGAAGTAGACTTGTTGAAAAAGCATCTACGCTTTGTAGAGAGGATTTTCTTCCTGGTCTTAGACTGGTAAGGGTTTTCATCGAGCCCAAGACCCTGGATGGAGTGGACTAGTGGGAGTGGCTAGGGGCCCAGGACTGGTCCAGGATGAGGCACCCTCCCCAGAGGGGGGTTGGCAGATTCCTGAGGTGGCAGACCTGTGGGTCAGACCATAGCCCCCAAACACAAGCACCCTCGAGACCCCTGGTGCCATCCCTTCGCATGTCGCCCTCATCTGAGACCTCTGGTTCACGTTGTCACCAGTGCTGAGCAGCCTCCCACCTGGCACGCTCCACTGTGTTGGCCCCTGGGACCCGGCAGGCGTGAGGGCAAATGTGTAGGAGTGTGTGTGCTGCACTCCAGGCCGGGCTGGGTGATGTACTAATGGCCACTTAGCTTAAGTGTCTTGTTTTGGCCAAACAGCATCCTCTCGGTGCAGCAAACACGGAGGTGGATTGTGCCCAGCCAGGTGGGCAGGGTGCTGGTGGGGCAGACCTTGGCGACAAGGCCACAGGGAACCTGGCCTTGTCAGCCAAGTGGAAGCCTCGGCAGCACCCCTGAGGAAGCCGGCCCCTCTGCGGGGGAGCCCTCTTTGTCCACCCGCCCTGAGCTGCACCGTCACCCAGCGCTGGCAGGGTGGGAAGACAGGGGCACAGGAGAAACGGAGGCAGCTGGTTCCTGGTGATCAAATCCAGCTCACTTGGCGGTCAGGGGTACTCAATGCTCTTTGAAGTATTTGATGATGAATGAATGAATGAATGAATGAATTGGGGGGTGTTTTGATTCTGATGCAACAGGGATCTCCCAGGGTACAGGAGGCACAGAAAACTCACTCTAACACATGCAGGAGGTGCTGGCCAAGTTCTCTACAGCAGCTGCCTCGCTGGTTCAAATGCAGTCCTATGTGGGGTCGGCTGTGTGGCCCTGCTCTGCTGGAGAGGGGGTACAGCTCAGTACCCCACCGCAGCTCTGCAAAGCACCTCTGGGGAGCTTGCCATGCTGTGTGGCACCTTGTTTGAAAACAGTCATGCAGACTCTTCTTTATAGGCAGAGGGACCAGAGGCTGGAGGAGAGCAAAGAGAAGACTCGCGGTGCCCCGCCTTGGGGCAGGGGATGTCTTGTGGACTGGCTCCCTAGCATGAGCCCAGTGTGACTGCAGGCCGCCCAGGCCCCCGAGGCTGACACTGCATGTACGTGGGGGTGCTGGGTACATGGAGTGCAGGGATCTCACAGCCTGCGTTTCTGGGGATTCTCTCGGTTCTGGGAGGAGATGGGGGAGACAGCCTGGAGGCCCACGCTGGGATGAGCTCAGCCCCCCACCCCCAGCCACCTGGGCTCTCAACAGGTGAGGACTGTGTTCAGGCCCTGACCTTCCAGGAGGGCCGGTGGGCCAGGCACCTCTTCATGCTTAGCCCACCCCAGAGCTCTAGGGAGCTGGCTCATGACCCCACCTATGCCCAGCGCTTTGAACGTCAGGGTCATTGGGAATACAAGAAGCCACAGGGGCCAAGGTCAGTGGAAGGGCATTCTTTTAAGGGGGTAGGCAGTGGCAGAGCACAGCACTGAGTGATAGCCAGAGGTGACAACCCAAGGAGGGAACCAGGGTTCTAGTCCTGGTGTGGCCTTCAACTGGCTACATGACCTTGGGCAAGCCAGAGCCTCTCTGGGCCCTCATGGCCTCATCAATGGGATACAGGGCTCAGATAAGAGGTTTCCAAAATCCTTGCTGCTCCAAGGTGTGCCCACTGGCTCCTGCTCCCCAGGGTGTTGCCCAGGGCCCAGCAGGGAGGCCCAGTTTAGACTGGACTTGAAGGGGTGCTGAGGTGGTGTCCTCGCTGTCACCACTGCCATGTCACTCTGGATCCAGCAGGACAGCTTTGCATGTGTCCCCCACTGCACACTTGGGATTCACAATGACTGCTGCTCATCTTGCCCGGAGCGCAGGCCACTGCATGGCACCAGGGCTCCGTCCACAGGAGCAGCACAGAACCACTGAGATGAAGCCACCCCCAGAGCAGCTATGCTATCACCCCGCTCCTCCCTGGCATGCTGGCTGCCCCAGGGGAGGCCAAGGGCAGGATGCCAACACCTTGACTTACTCCCCTCCCCCAGCAGGTGGGCGATCCCAAGAGACAGAGCCTCCATAGGACCCCAGCCTCTAGAAGCTGTGATACAGAGAGCACTAGGCTCAGAGCAGGAGGTCTGGGTTTTGTTATAAGATAAACTTCAACAACTTTGGGCAAAGCACACTGTTTTGGGCCTCTACGTTTTTGCTGGAGATAACAGCTCTTTCAACATCCCGCCATGGTTGGGGCTGAGGCTCAGAGCTGGAGGGAGGATGGAGCAGACAGCCCCACTCTGGATGCTGCTTCCTCCCGATGTCCCCAGCTGGCAGCCCTCGCTCGGGGCTTCAGTGCAAGACCTCCCTCTTGCCCTGGTCTCAGGGGCTGGCCTCTGTCTACCTGCCTCCCCCAGCTGATAGCAGAGTCAGGCTCTCCAGGACCACAGCTGAGTTGTCCCTGACCCAGAGCCTTCAGTCCCAGGGGAGTACTGCCGGTTCCGGTTGCTCCTGGCCTCCTGGGTACCTGGCCACCCCCACCTCCTTCTCTGGGCAAATTTCCTCCCCCGCCTCTGGGCCTCCCACCCTGGGGAACCTCTTGTCTCCTCCAGGCCTGGCTCCTTCATTCCTGGCCCCTTCGTCCCTGGCCACCATGAGTGGGTGACAGGGACGGATCACCGGATCCAGCTGGGGTGGAGATGGCCTATGCACTGGACGAGGAATGAGAGGGCTGTGTCACAGCCCTGAGCCTACCAGCTGGTACAGGGCCCCAGGCTCCCACTTAGTCCTTCTGAGGCCCAGATCCCCACGAACGAGGGGACTTCAAAGAGTGCATGGGGAACGTGTGTTAAGAAAGCTAGGTATGGATTTCAACCCAATTTGTCTTTAATTTTAATTTCAAAGTTTCAATTAACTCCTAATACCAAGTGCAGCTGTGTGAACTGTTGGCATCAGGTAATTAGCATTTCCCTTCAAATGTTTCTTTGCACCAAAATAAACTTATCTTTAAATTCCATTTTCCATGATCCTTTGGAAGAGCCTTCTAACACACCAGGGGTGGGAACCTTGTAAGAATCAAAAGAAATAATGGGTGTGAAGCTTTGCAAATCATAAGCCCCTGTAAGAGAGGAGGTTTGTGCCTGTGGGCACCTGTGACACCACTGCCGGAGACTCAGCTTGCTCCTGGCAGCCTGGTTAGAACCCAGGCCCTGGAGGGGTGGGATCTGCCCATTTGACATGCATGGAGGGTCTGCCGCTTGTCCAAGGTAACCCAGTGAGGCGGGGTCGCAGATCTTTCTATTTCAAGCCCAGCATTCTTCAACCCACCCACCCACCCTGCCGTCCCAGCTAATGTAACCAGCCCTGGCTGTGCAGTGGGCGCTTTGCATCCATCGCCAATGACTAGGGCATGGTCATTAGCTCGGCCTTACCAATGAGGAAGCCGAGATGTGAGGAGGTGAGGTCACTTGCTCGGTGTCACGCAGCCCTGTCAGGGTGGGGCTGGATTGCAGCATGGTCACTCTAGCCCTGCTGCTCCAGGTCACCAGGTTCTGCCCAATCCTGGCGGGCCACAGGGCCCAACCTTGATGGATGCTGGAGAGTACCATGAGACCAAGAGCCTTGCAGGGACCCTCCAGCCCTTCCCCCAGTTCCCCATGGTGCTCCTGACCCCGTACGGTACCAGACCCGAGCTCACATGCCAAGGCCCAGGTGCAACGTGGGTGCCCAGTGCACGCGTGTCAGGGAGAAGACTCAGCAGGAGGGTCTCCTTCCTACTCCACAGGGGCAGGGGACCCAGACGCAGGCTGGAGGTGGGATCCTGACTGTGTGGTTCTGCCGCCTGAGCTCAGAGCCTTGACTTTCTTTTCTGTGCAATGGGCTTCTCAAAGTACCGGTATCCCAGGGACGTGAGGAGGACCTTACGAGGCCGCAGATGTGAAAGTGTATCGTAAACTTGAAAACAACATATGCATGTGTGAGATTAGCATTTTATTGGCCTGAATCACGGGCATTTCCTGTTAAGCTGCGGCAGGCTTATAGGGAGAGCCCGGCAGGCCAGTGGAGGTGTGCAGCACCAGGGTGCCCGGCAGGTGCCAAGGCTCAGGCCACGGCTGCTGGGAAGTACAAGGCCTTACATGGCCGGAGCTGTCTCTCTTATGGAAGGGCCATAGTCTGGCCTTTGTCCAGCGTCCTGTTTTCTCCTTAAGATGAGCTCATACCACCTGTCAGCCCCTTCAATGCTGTCTCGTGGCTGTTCGGTCCCAGCACGGGTAGTACTGTGTGTGCCCAGGCCAAGGCCAAGAGCAGCAGCCAAGTCCCATGTAATGTGCCTGCTATGTGCCAGGCACCGGAAGGGGCTCTCCCAAGCATTATCAGTCCTGTTTTGCAGATGAAGAAAAAGGCCCAGGGAGTTAAGTGGCTGGCTCAGGGTCACAGGGCTCCTGAGTGAGAAACCCAGCCAGGACCAGGTCTGCCTGACTCGATGGGTGCATTCTCTACTTCCCTCTCTCCTTGCCCCCAGGCCCAGTCCTGCTCCACTTGAAGCTGCTGCAGCTAGCCTGTCTTCATTGTATGGCAATCTAGTCTCTGCCCAGGCGATGGTCATGAGAAGGAGCCCCCAGCTCCTGGTCAGCTAGGTCAGCAGCAGAAGCAAATGACCGTCAGGCCCCTGAACAGACACAAGCATGCCCTGCACAGCCCCCGCACAGCCAGTGGGACATCGGGCTCATGCGTATTCCCGCATGTCCACCCATGAGCCCCAGAACCTGCTGGGAGACTGTGCCTGCTCCTGCCTCTGGCAAGCTGAGTGTGGTCAGCAACTCAGAATTCCTGGAATTCGTCTCACAGCCCCAGAACAGGGAAGGGACCAAACCAATTACCTTCCACTCCCGAAGAAGGAATTTTAAGGATAAAGCCACAAAGTCCTACTTGGCACAGCTGATGCTGTTGACCTGGCCCACGCTGACCTTGTCCTGTGGACAAGGACTTTTAATTGATCTGCTTAGTAACAGCATCCGATGCTTCCACACCCAGCAGTGGGTGAGGGATGGAGACAGAGGCACCAGATGCCCTAGAGCTTTTTTTTTTCTTTTTGACAGGCAGAGTTAGACAGTGAGAGAGACAGAGAGAAAGGTCTTCCTTCCGTTGGTTCACCCCCAAAATGGCCGCTATAGCTGGTGCTCCCCACTGATCCAAATCTGGAGCCAGGTGCTTCCTTCTGGTCTCCCATGCGGGTGCAGGACCCAAGGACTTGGGCAGGGATGTGGTTGTATTGGGCTGCACAGGTGTTTCCTTTCCCCTCCCACACCGTGCTGGCCCCTCCCCCACGGCCTCACCCGCCCCCACCACTGCCCTGCTCCTAGGTACCAGCGGGCCCAAGTTCTCCTGGCAGGAGGGCCAGAAGCGGCTGCCACTCATCGGGTGCATCTCCTCTTCATCACCCTTGTGGTCTCGCTCATCGTTCTCTGTGAGTCGAACGGAGGGGTAGGGTCCTGGACATGGTTGGGGGGAGTGGGGGACCACAGGCTGGGTCCACAGAGAGACACTCCTGCAAATGGCCTGGGATCACAGTGCTGCCTGGCTCCTGCAAGGTGGCCGGGTGAAGGGTGTGGGACGTCACAGGTTCCTGGCCTGGGTCCCGTCTGTGCTACTGACATGGGCAAGTGACTGCACCACTCTGAGTGCAGTTCCCACACCTCCAGGTGGGATCAAGCTCATGCATTCCTTCAGCCTGCTCTGTGCCCCAAAGACCTCATCCCAGCTTCACTGGGTTAGGAGGAATAGATGGAGACGGATATAGGCATGGCCCCAAACCTCAGCCTGCGAGGGCTAGCTACAAACTGAACAGCCCAGTGTGAAAACACGGGGAAGCCCTGCAGAGGCACTCATTTAGTAAGGATAAGCCGCTCAGTGTTCAGGTGTCCAAGGTCTGTGTCGATCCCCCTTCTCTTGGGAAAAGATGCACATGGCTCACTGCTAAGGAGTCCTCCAGCACCCCGGCTCACGGGGCAATCGTAGGAGGAGCAGAAGTGACCACGCGTATGCCCACCATGTCCTCAGGGAGACTACAGAGCTGGGCAGAATTCCAGCCACCTGCACCTGTGTGTGATGGAGGGAGATGTGACAGCTGAGGGCTGGGTGCAGGGCCCCAGGTGAGGACCAGGCAAGCAGTTAGGACCTGGACAGCCACAGGGAGTGTGGGAGACCAGGTGGGCAGGGCTGGCAGGGGGAGAAGGGACCCACCTAGCCAGAGAGGAGAAGACACATTTGGGGACCAGGGGCCGTTTGCCTGTTGGGTTCAATGAGGCCAGGGCCCGTGGCAGAGAACTTTTACCGCCAGGCCCAGGAGTAAGGATTTTGTTCAAGAAGCAGCACCTTGTGGTGTAGTGAGGGGCCGGCTGGGCGGGACAGGGAAGCTGCTGGCTGGCAGGGCCCGAGGAGGAAGAGGACTGGGCGAGAGGAGGCAGGGTGCCATGCACACTGCCCAGGGATCCAGGCTCCGCACCTGCCGGCTGCGTGACCCGCCAGTTAACGGCCTTTCTGGGCGTCAGTTTCCCCGCCCGCTGCCCAGGCAATGGAGTCACCATCACAGGGCACGTGGAGGCCTCCACACCTGCCACATGGCATCCATGGGACACCCCCAGCTGGTGTTTGCTGCCCAGCCCTGCTTCCTCACCATAGGACCCCCGCTCCATGAGAGCGTGGGAAGTGGCTCCTGGAGGGGCACACGGCACTCACGGGTGGGGTAGCCCAATGGAACGATAGCTCTCAGGGCAGAGCTCCCAGCATTCCCTGTTGCAGGGCCTCCAGACCTCCCAGGGCCAGGGAGGTGGTGCGACTGTACAGGCTGCATAGCAGCTACATGGGTGGGGGGTCAGGACTAGAGCCAGGCCCCTGCCCCTCACCCCACCACTCCATGTTCTCCCTTCTGCCCATCAAGGCCACCAGGCTGTGGGCTTCGTGAGCATGCTGGAGGGTCAGCATCCAGGGCATGGAAGGGGGGAAGACCTGGAAGGGCCATCTCACAAGGCGGCCTTGACCTTGGGGAACCAAGAGCGTGAAGGGCCCAGTGAGAGTGGGGGCTGAGGCTGAGAGGCGGGAAGAGGAGCTGGAGCCCAGGCCTGTGGGGCACCCAGGGGGAGGCATCTCCGAGCAGTGGGGTAGCATTTCCCGGCCTGGATGGAGACTGGTGTTCAGAGGGTGGCAGGGAGCTGATCGCTCAGGTGGTTTGTAAAGTCGTTTTCTTCCAGACTCTGTGCATCCGGGAATCAGCTGCCTGGATTGCTCATGGAGTGAGGAGCCTTTCAAAGCCATAAGACTGGCAGTGGGGCGAGGGCTGCACAGAGAGACACCCTTGCTTAGCGGAGAGGGAGGAGGAAGAACGGCCAGGTGCTTCCGGTGGGGGGGTGGGGGCAGAGAGGTCAGCCCAGGCAGTGTCTGTGTGACTGTGAGGACGGAAGTTCTCTGCTGTGGCCCAGCAGAGCACCGAGGAGGTGGCTCTGAGAGGGGGTTCTGGGGCAGGAGGTAGCCCCTCTGGCCACCACCTTGGCCAGCATGTAGGTGGAGAGGCCCCCGCAGTGCCACAGTGGTACCCACCTCCACCTCCCTCCCCACTCTCCTCTTTCTTTCTCCGGGGGGCTGGCTGCTCGTGTCTGCCTGGTGCTGCCCTGCCTGCAGGAGCTTTCTGGAGCATTCCAGAGCAGGCCTGAGCAGCCTTTCTCTCCATGCAGATGGGGGACGAGAGCCCCAGAGCTCAAGAGGGATCGCAGGTCGGTGTCTCCGAACCCCCAGGGCCTTGGGCTACTTACAGTCCTGTCACTGGGGCTGGCAGTGACCCAGGCTCTGCTTCCTTTGTTCCAGTCCACTTCTGGCGGGGCCACACGGGGATCAAGTACAAGGAGCCGGTGGAGAGCTGCCCCAGCCACACCGTTCGCTGTGATGGGGTGGTGGACTGCAAGCTGCAGAGTGACGAGCTGGGCTGTGGTAAGGAGGTGGGCATGGGCGAGCACGTGTGTGCATGTGTGTGTGTGCATGCTATGTGTGCACTGTTTACATTCGTTGCATGGTTGTGTGTGTGCCTGTGTGTATGCATGTGGCTTCAAACTGTGGTGCAAATTTGTGTCAGCGCAAACAGGAGGCAAGGGACAGGGTGTCTGGAGATCTGGGTTCTACTCACAGCAGACTTGGATTTGAAACCCGATTTTGAGTGCTGTGTAGCCAGGATGAGTCGCTTACCTTCTATGGGCTTCGGTTTCCTATTTGTAAAATGAGTGGGTTGGACAAGGTTATTGATTCTCAAATAAAATCTGACAGCTCCCAGACATCAGACTGAGCCAAGCAGAGCAGCTCTGGCAGGCGGTGGGTAGGGGGGCTGGAGCCCTTCCTCTTTGTCCAGCAGGTGGCACCTGAGTGTCACCCCTACTTTCTAAAGAAATGAAGGCCTGTTTGTAAGCAGCGGGGCTCGATGTGCACAAAGATCGCTTTGCACTGCGACCTTGGTGGGCTTTGAGTGCGTACTCTGGACGGCCCGCCTGCAGGTGCATATGCACTGTGCCTGCGCCGTCAGTGACTCAGCCTGGCCTGGGAGCGTCACAGATGCTGTCCTGTCCACCCGATCACTCTCTCGTGAGGGCACACCTCTGGCCTCTCAGGGCACCGCTCCTGCCAGAGCCTGCTCCTTATCCCAGCAGTGCCCCCCGCAGCCATCACCCCGGCTCTGCCTTGCTGACCGTCTCGGGCAGCTGAGAGCGGGCTGACCACTGCCACTCAGGCCAGCCTCCCAGTCCTCTCTCGGGTCTCGGTGAGGAGCCTCTGGACAAGAGGCCTCACTCAGCTCCTCCCCCAGGGGCTGGCTGGGTGCTGGGTGCTGAGCATCTGCCCTGCCTCTCTTCTTGCCCGGCAGTGAGGTTTGACTGGGACTCATCTTTGCTGAAAGTCTACTCTGGCTCCTCCCACCAGTGGCTGCCCGTCTGCAGCCACAGCTGGAACAACTCCTTCTCCGAAAAGACCTGTCGGCAGCTGGGTTTCAAGAGGTGAGCCTTCCCCCGGGGGGCCTCGTGTTGCAAAGGCCTGGGACACCCGCACTGACCTCACTAGCTCAGGACACTTTGAGTCCCGTGAGTCTGGGGCAAGCTGGTCCCACGAGGCCAAAGTAATTATTTGTGCAGCTGTAACAGTGTTAGGCCCCTGTGTGGTTCCAGCACCCTCGTGTCCCTTGCCACATTTAATTGTCCCATCACCATCCTCTCAGGTGACACTCTTGAGACAGGTGAGTACGGGACAGGCCTTATCTTTTTACATCAGGTTAGCCAAGCCCTTGGGTGGACTTTGAGCCATATCAGTCATGGTTTGGCTGGAGAAACTCACAAATGGGAACTGGAAAGGGGACAGATGTGGCCAAATCAAGTCAAAAGAATCTTGTGCTCTAAAGATTTTAAACCAAGAAGCCCGTGCTGGTGGGCAGGGCAGGGGAAAGGGAGAGCAATGGCCTTCTTGGTGGAACCTGCAGTTTGCAGACCAGAAGATATCTTGCTCCTCCATCCTAGGCTGAGTGTTTTGAGGTTTGTCTTATTTTTTGGAGACAGAGAGACAGACAGATGGAGCTTCCATCTGCTGGTTCACTCTCAAATGCCCACAAAGCCAGGGCTGGACCAAGCCAAAGCCAGAAGCTGAGAACCCAGTCCAGGTTCCCCATGTAGGTGGCAAGGAACCCAGTACTTGAGCCATCACCACTGACTCCCAGGATGTGTGTTAGCAGGAAGCTGAAATCAGGAGCAGAGCCGGGACGCAAACCCACACACTCCGACGTGGGATGCAGACATCCCAAGTGGCATGTCGGCTTCTAGACCAAGTGCCCATCTGAGATTTAAAGCTGAGTAGCTCTGGGGTTCAGCCAGCTGTCTGAGGTCATGGGGCAAGGGTCCAGGATCTCAGCTGGGCTCTCTGTAGGAGAAGCACCTGGAAACCAGGAGCTGGAGGCTGGGATGGGAACTAGTTAGGCACCTCCACTGCCACCCAAGTCGTGGTCCATGGCAGGGGCTCCGAGGGTCCCAGCAGAAGGTCATGGACATCTTTTATCCACTTGTGCAAGTCTGGGTCTGCCTTGAGCATTCCATCCTCTGAATGTCGTTTATTCAAAGATCACTCACTGAGCTTTGACCAAGGACCAGAGATTGTGTGGTACCCAGACACAAAGGAATAAGACAGGATCCCTGGAAGACCCTCCAGTATTGGGTGGGTGAGAGAGGCTTAAACTAACAATGCTGTGTGACCAGAAGGATGCTGGGGACCAGCGCAGCGGCTCACTAGGCTAATCCTCCACCTTGTGGCGCCCGCACACCAGGTTCTAGTCCCGGTCGGGGCACCAGATTCTGTCCTGGTTGCCCCTCTTCCAGGCCAGCTCCCTGCTGTGGCCCAGGAGGGCAGTGGAGGATGGCCCAAGTGCTTGGGCCCTGCACCCCATGGGAGACCAGGAGAAGCACCTGGCTCCTGCCTTCAGATCAGCACAGTGCACCAGCCACAGCGCGCCAGCCACGGCGGCCATTGGAGGGTGAACCAACGGCAAAAGGAGACCTTTCTCTGTGTCTCTCTCTCTCACTGTCCACTCTGCTATCAAAAAAAAAAAAAAAAGAGAG